ACAGGGTACAAACCTATCAGCTGCACACTGAAGCTCTCCTGATGGTCATGCCAAAAATCAATCAAGAAGCCAGAAGTGATAGATCTGCAAATGAATACAAAATACTGTTTTTCATGTTTTAATTTCTTCAAAAGGTAAGTGAGGGGTTGTAACATTTTGAGGTAAACTAAATGACAACTAAGGGAGGGATGGAGAAAAGGAAGTGTACTGCTGTATGAGTTTTGATCTTGTGTGGAAGGGGATGTAATAATAAAGATGTATTGGGATAAGTTTAGAATGCATTTTGTAATCTATAGAACAGCCACCAACAGCAACCAAGACCCAGTAAATAGGTCTGTAGCTAAGTACCAAGAGAAAAGGTAAAATGGAATACCAGACTTACTCAGTTTAATCTAGCAGAAGCCAGGATAAAAGAAAAGTGGTAACCAAGAATGGATGAAACTGAACAGAAATCAAATAGTAAGATGAGAGGCTGAAGTACAGCCATGTCAATAATTGTGTATATTATATATAGCAACAGTTAAATGAAAATTCAAATTAAAAAGCAAAGATTTTCAGACCAGATTTAAATATAGCAAAACTCAGATATGTGTGTTTTACATGCAACACATTTTAAAATATGAAGACAGTTTAAAAGTAAAAGAAAGGAGAAGATACCTTGTGAAAGACTAATCATGAGAAAGTGGAAGTGGTTATATTATATTAGACAAAGTAGATATCAAGATGAAGACTATTACCAGTTTAAGAGGAGCACTGTATAACAACACAGTTCATTTTAAGGAGACATAACAATCCTAAGTGGGTATGTAGGTTAACAATAGAGCTTCAAAATACGTGGAACAAAATCTTACCAGAAGTAAGGCAGAAACAAACCCAAAGTTGCAGTTGGAGATTGTAATACTCCTTTCTCAATAACAAGTAATTCATTAAACACATGAACTAAAGTAGTAATAGGGACAGAACGTTTGAGCAACATAATCAACAAGTTAACCTAATTGGCATGTCAGAATACTCCACCCAATCTGGCAGTACAAATTTTTTTAATCAAAATAGATAATATATTAGGCCATAAAATAATCCTCAGTGAATATCAAAGAATTGAAATCATGCAGCAGAAAAGATACAGAAAATCCCCAAATATTTGTAAATAAACCCATGGGTATTTGAACTGAGTAATAATGAAAAGGCAATCTCACACTTGGTGGTAAGCAGCCTAATCAGCACTGGTGAGGACCTGTGCTGCTTCAGTTGCTTGTGATGGTGTGATGGTTGCTTTTATCTGTCAATTTGGCTAGGCTGTTGTACCCAGATGCTTGTCTAGTATCAGTCTAGTTGCTGGGAAGGTACTTTTTAGTTGAGATTAACATTTAACTCAGTAGACACTGAGTAAAAAACTCTTCTCCATAAAGTAGGTAGGCTTCAGCCAATCAATCAAAGGGCTTAGGGAAAAAGTCTGAGGTCCCTAGGAAAGACTTTGCCTCTAGATTTCCTTTGGTTGTGGGCTACATCAACTCTCCCTTGGGTCTCCAGCCTGCCAACCAAGCCTGCAGAATTCAGACTTGCTGCCTCCATAATTACATATAACAGTTCCTTAAAATAAATCAGTACACACATATAAGCATACATGCATGTTCTATTGGCTGTGTTTCTGATGAACCCAATTAGAAAAGAAGAAAGTTTTAGAATTATTGATCTAAGGTTCTACCTTAAGCTCCAGAGAAAGAGTAAGTTAACCTCAAAATAACCAGCAGTAAAAAAAGAAAGAAAAGAAAAAATAGAGAATGGAAATTAGTAAGATAGAAAATGAATTATCAAATATAGAAAATTAATGAAACCAATGTAGTTTCTTTGAAAAGATTATAATTGGTAATATTTTGATATCTCTATTTCTTAGATGGATAAAGAAATAGAGAAAACATAATGTTGTAAGGAATAAATTAGGGAATATCAACATAGATCCTATAAATATTAAAAGCAAAATAAGGAGATATTGTATACAACTGTATACCACTAAATATAGTACCAGTGAATATAGATGAAATGGACAAATTTATTAAAAGGCAGTATGTCCCATAACACAATCAAGAAGAAACGAAAGATCTGACTAGCCTACTTCATCTTTAAAGAAATTAAATCTATAATTATACCCTTTCTACAATGAAAACCCTAGGTCTTGATAACTTCACTGACACATTCTAACAAATAGTTAAGGTAGAAATAAGGCTGGTATCACCCTAATGCTAAACTGACAAAGACATTACAGGAAAAGAAAACTTTATGAAAGGAAAAAATTTCAACAGAATATTTGTAAATTTGATTTATCAATATATTAAAAGAATAATGCATTATAATCAAGTTAGATTTATTCTGGGAATGCAAGATTGATACATCACTTAAAATTAGTCATTTAAATTCATCACAATGAGAGAATTAAAGAGAAAAACATTGGTCATTTCAGTAGATGCAAGAAAAGCATTTGGCAAAATTCAGTATTCATGGTTTGAAAGAAATTCTCAGAAAACTTGGAAACTTCATAAATCTCTTCTATAAAAAACCTGCCAGGTAATGACATAACTAATGGTGAAAGACTGAATGATTGAGAACAGGCAACGATGTCTGCTCTTGCTACTTATGTTTAGCATTGAACTGAGCTTCTAGCCATGCAGTAAGGGGAGAAAAGAATTAAAAGGCACACAGAGTGGAAGAGAATAGATAGAACCATCTTTATTCACAGATGGTATTGTTCATGTATAGGAAATCTTAAAGGATCTACAAAAAGTTAATAGGATCTGAGAAGCAAATTTAGCAAAGTAGTAGGATGCAAAATTGAAATAAAAGAGTAAATACATGTATAAAGGAGTACAGTGGGCAAGGGAAGTCTTTTCAACAAATATGAACTTCAATTTCACACCATACACAGAAATTAATTTGAGGTGTCTCATAGACCTAATTATAAAGCCAACACTATAAAGTTTCTAGAAACCCTAGAAACTTTAAAGAACATGGGGGCACCTTGTCATTACAGTTTGGGGTTTGGCACCAATTTCTTGGGTCATAGAATAACCAAGAAAAAAATAAGTTGAGCTTATTTGCTAAAAGTATTGCTCATCAGAAGACACTATTAAGGAAATGAAAAAAGCCACACACTGGGAGGAAATATTTGCGTTCTCCATATCTAACAAAGGAATACATCCTAAAAATATAATTGCAAAGAATTGAAATCATGCAGCAGAAAAGATACAGAAAATCCCCAAATATCTGTAAATAAACCCATGGGTATTTGAACTGAGTAATAATGAAAAGGCAACCTAACAATTGGTGGTAAGCAGCCTAAGCAGCACCAGGAAGGACCTGTGCTACTTCAGTTGCTTGTGTTGGTGATGGTTTAAGAAATGTGTGTGTGTATATGGATGCATGTGTGTATAAATTATTGATTTATATAATATATGTACACAACCCACATATATTCAAATCAATAATGAAAGGATAATCTAGAAAATTGGGTAAAAGACTTGCATAGTCATTTCACACACACACATGCTATATGTGTGTATACACACACACAAAAACACATACTTATACACCCAAAAAAATATTCAGTAAGGCTTTGAAAAGGTGTTCAGTATCATTAGTCATCAGGAAAGTGAAAATTAAAACCCCTGTGAACTACAACTACAAACCTTGTGGAATGGCTATAATTAAAAAGACCCAGAAAACTGGAACCCCTTAATATGTTGTTGGGAAAGTATAAAATGATATAATCACTTCAGAAAATTGCTTTCTTTCTTATAAAATTAAACATATTAATCCTGTGATTCAACAGATATCACCCAACAGAAATGAAAACTTACATCTATAAAAAGACTTGGGCAATAATGTAAATGTTAGTTTTATTCATAGTAGCCCCCAAATGGAAATAATCAGTAGACAAATTGTGTTAAGTAAATCACTGGACTACTAAGCAATAAAAAGGGATACATGAATATATGCTAGTACATGTGTGGATTTCAGAAAAAACATTGAGCAGACAAGAAACCAGAGACAAGAAATGTATATAAAACCCCACTTATGTGAAATTCTGGAGGAATTGGACTTGGTATGTGTTAGTGTAGCAACAGTGCTTGCCTTGGTAGCTGGAGGTTTACAGGACTGAAAGGGTGCTAGTGAACTTTGGGGGTTTTGGGGTCACGTGGATGTGTACATTTATCAAAAGTCATACCGTTCACTTAAGATCTATGCATTGCTTTGTAAATTAGTCATCAAGAAATTAATACCCCTGCCTGCCCCCACAAAATGAAAGTTCAAAAACCAGACCAGCTTAGTTCAAATTCTGACTCTGACATTTGAAAGCTATGTAGCTATGAGCAAATTATTTAACCCCTCTGTTTTAGTTTTCTCATTTGTAAAGTGGAGTTTATAACAATACTTAATATAGGGGTTTTGTGGAGATCAAAATGAGTAAATACATGGAAGTGCTTCAAAAAGCGCCTGGCATGTAGTAATAATAATGACGAAAACACTTTGTTTTAGAGTTGCCTATGTTCTTGTCTTTGAAAGTTGATAAAGTAAATGGGGTGTCTTGAGGAACTATTAACTAAATATTTCAAAATCAACTTTTATTAGATGAGTAACTCTTGCCACTTGGGGGTCCTGTGTCCCTTTGTGAATCTGACAAAGACTTTTGCCCTCTTCTAGAAAAGTGCTCCTAATATACACACAGAATTTTGTATAATGGGTATTAGTTTCTCTGTAACCTTGAGGAAGTTATAGATGTGTGTGATACATTGATTTTGTTTTTGTTTTTACTTAAGTAAAAATCTGGCTAAAGTCCCTTCTTACCAAGTATAAGAAGAAATCTGATATCAGTCAACATGGGTTGGTGCCTTCCCCATCTTCAATCCTGCAAAAATGGCTCCTGTGAACTTTGAAGACAGGATTGCTCACCTGGCCTCACACCTGGTCCTTAGCTCATACTCATCTATCATTGTCCTTGCCTTTAGGACCCACATAGAGCAGGTGTCTGAATCCAAGCTTCTGGCAGATTTGGCCACAGGGAACTGACTTCATAATGGCTGCCTTTCTGACTGGAGTGAGATGGTATCTTA